ACAGATAATCTGTGAAAAATCAGGCTCCTCTGGCTCTTCCTAGAGCTTCAATTACATTTGCAAGAATTCACCATGCCTGAACAAAAACATGAAAAATAAATCAGAGCCAAGAAAGATAGTTGATCATTCCCAGGATGTCAATTATTGAAACACTGGGTTAATGGCTTGAAGCTTTGGGACTCATGTCTGACAACATGGGAATGAGACTTGACAATCAACTATCTTTCTCTGCTTTGATTCGCTGTTTTCATTAAGACCAGGTGGATTCTTGCAGATTCCACTAGGAGCATTAGCAGGAGCCAGGGGAACCTGATTTTCTTCACAGATATCTGTCTCATGTACATGTCAGGATATAGTGAAAATTTCAGCAACTATGACAAGAAGTTATTTTAAAAAATAAATAAATAAATAAATAAAAAATTTAAAAAAAAAATCTACTGGAGCTTTAAACCATTAATTAATTATGAAAATTGTCAGTGGTTTAAAGAGCACTCCAGCTTTTTAGTATATTAGTATATCACTCATATTAGGACTCACAAGAGATACATTTTCAAAAACTTGAAAATACAACAGAATGCATACAGAAGACAACAATTTAAAAAACTAAATCTCTTAAATCAATAACATTTGTTATTCGTATAATTTTTTAAATAGGTAAGGAGTGATCTCTGCTTGCGCATTGCGCAGTACCGACTGGGCAAGATGTAAAAATAAATAATGCTTTTAAATAACATTTATACAGAAATGTTGATATCATTTCATATTTTTTAATGTAATCAAATTTCAATTTAAAATCGACGTATGAATCTTAGAAATCCATATCTCTGTCTGTACATCCAAACTGCCAAATAGTTTTTCTCTGAAAGCCCGAAAAGTTTCAAGACATCAATCTGCGGTGATTCACAACGGGAGACTTTACAAAGAGTGGGGCTGGCTTGTTGAAAAATGGCCATGAATTTGCCTTCAGTCACTGCTTTATTGGAAGCAGACTGAAAAAAAGAAGCAAGAGAAAAGAGCGTTCCCAAAATGTCTATAAGGCAGCCAATCCCCCGCTGATCAGGCATCAGCTGGATGGGCGCCAAACAGAGAGCTTGGGAGTAAACACTGCAGCCTATGAAGCTGATCAAGACTATATTTATTCACCTTAAAGTGAATTTTCAGTATGACTGGGCTGCAAACACCCTGATACCTAATCTCAAGGTGCGTGAAAGAAAAACGTGATCCAAATATAAACAGCAAGCAAATCCTATCATCAAATCCAGCGCTGCCACAGCATCAGGGGAGGATTTGACTTGTTTTATTAACCTCGACTTGATCTCTTTGACTTATGAGTTAATCATTAAGACACTAATCAGAACAAAACTTTTTATTGATATCCCACCCGAATCTATATTTGGAGTGTCAACTACTCATTCTCTGTAGGCTTTAGACTAAACAGAATAAAACAAGAACCCTTGGCAGTTTGCAGTCGGTTTTCATTCAGTTTTTTTTAAACATAGTCTGCTAGGGATGTAAGAACTATGTTTTACAGTCTTTGCCAAAGTACTGTCAAAACACAAATAAAAAGTACAAAATATTAATGATTTTGTCACTCTTTTGTTTTTTTCTTTCTTTCTTGTTTCTTTCTTTTACCTTATGGCCATGCCATCAGCTTTCATATTTCTTTTTTTTTTTTAAAGTAAAAGTTCCAGTGTATAACTTTGTTGGCAGAAATTGAATATAGTATTCATTAGTATGTTTTCATTAGTGTATAATCATCTGAATATACGAATTTTAGAATGAGCCGTTTTTATCTAAAGACACTGTGGGTCACCTTCCATGGCAGCCACCATGTTTCTACAGTAGCCCAAAAATTACAAACCAAAAACTGGCTCTACATAGAGGCATTTGCATTTTTCATGCATTTCACAGCCACTATAGTTTCTCCAAGTGTGTTGCAACTACACCGCTAGATGCCACAAAATCTTACACACTGGACCTTTTGCCTATTGTCCTGCATCCTTACAGAGTTGATGTAATGATGGTGAGCATGGTGACACATCACAAAGCCTATGATCAATACCTACCCCATCCGTCATAAACACTAAACCATATTGTCTGTCTTTTATCTATCAGATCACATGACAGCATAGCCAGAAATATGTGAGGCGTAAATCTGAATATCATTTTATTTATGGTTCTTCATGTTTTTGAAATGGGTTGTATAAGTGGTGGTAAGGGTTGTGTATCTCATATAAATGATGACATAAATAAAAATGCAAGAAAACGAAAGAGAAAGGAAGGGAGCACTCACCCTGTTTTAGCAAAGTTAGTCCAGTAGGTCATGACAACAGCACTCAACATCACGTCATTCTTGGAGAAGTTGCAATTGAAGAGGTCCGTGGGGCCGATCATGGGGATTCCAAACACGTACGGTACTTCATCACCGTGGGCCGAGTCAGCCCAGCTGGGCTTCATGTCACTCTGACAATGGTGGTAGAAAGCGTAGAAATAGGTGGGTGAGCCATACTGGGCGTGGAGGTCAGCTGTTGCCACTGCTGGTGCCACCCATTGGTGGTCAGTGAAAAGAGCCACCAGGGTCTTGCGCCGGGTCTCTGGGTTCTCCTTGTCTGCCCAGTCCGTGTACATGAATTTGATGGTCTCGCGCAGAGTGTCCTTGCCCTCTGGGTAGCCATAGAGATGGTCCACAAAGTCCGACACAGCAAAGTCAAAATCATTGGCAGACACCCCGTCCTCACTGTCCACGATGCCATCCACAAACTTGAACCCTTCGCCCTGATTGACCCCCAGCATGATGTCATAGTTGAGGAACTCCCCTTGCTCCATGAGGATCTGGGGGTCATCTGGTATGACGTCACCATCAATCACAGGCCCAAAGGCGATGTGGTACTTTGCAGGTGTGATGTACTGCTCGATCAGCTCTTTGTAGTTCTTGTTTTGCAGGCACTCCACCAGGTCAATGGTGTCCAGCATGTTGCAGCCCACCTTCTCAGCCAGGGCTCGTGTGTACTTGGCAGGCTGGTAGTTGACCGCCCAGCTGGACAGTGCTGTGCCACTCTGGATGATGGCTTTCTGGAACAGATCTGAGATTGAAGCTGGTATTAATAACGTATACACACACACACACACACACACACACACACACAAAGATGCTGGCAACACTTTGTTATACATGTAATGAAAACAAATAAATCAATCTAATGTTTCAAATGGTGCAGAAATTCTAAAATCTATGGGAGACACTACAGGTAAAAAGGGTTAAAAACAATCAACAAATAGATATAACCATCAAACTTCCTCTATTGACAGTTAAGACAATTGTAAATATGCAAATGTTGCATTATCTAATTTAAGGGTTATGGTTAAAAATTATTTTTTTCATTTGGTTGACATAATAGTGAAAGGTTTTTACAGAAGGAAATATGTTCTATAATATCTCTCATTATCACTCCATAAATCAGAAAATACAGCCATAAAAAAAATATCTCTCTTTTGCCAGAAATATTAAATATGTTTGAAGGTGGGGTCAGTCATTCAGGAGAATAGTAATAAATAGTTTAATTTTAAAAAAACATTGAGAGAAACCTTGTCAAACACAGAATTCTTAAGCTCTATCTCTTGTAATACCAGAATAAAAACATCTCAAGGCAAATAAAAGGATGATTCAGAATACTGATGTTACATCTTTGTGTCCCTAATGAACAAACCGAAACATAAAATATATTTGCTGTTTATACAGCAACAACACCTTAGGCAGTTTCCACATCCTGGATTGTGGCTTCACGGATTGCCAATCAGCAAGTAGGCCAGAATACACTAGGAACATTGGAGTTATGTGTATTTTTTTGTTTCAGAGAGTGCTATTTATACTCATACAAACACAGTGGTGGTGACTCAACCAGGCCGACTTGAAAAGTATGTTTTGAGCACACAGCAGACATTTCCCACAAGGCCTGGTTAACAGTGTACATGCTTTTACTGCTGCCATCGTAAGTCAGATGTGGACTATCAGTTAAACCTCAAGTCAGATGTTAACTTCAAAACTATACATACAGAGTGACTGGGATTTTTTTATGACCTGGGTATATTTTCTGATGCACAAGCTGATGTCTTGATGGTAGCTTTACAACAAGAGATCTTTAATTCACAATAGCAAATGCAAAATGGAGCATTACTTTTCTTGGCCATGTATTATACATCACCACAAATGTTTGTCAACTCCCTCAGCCATGATTTCTGCCCATCAGAACATGAGGATTTTTGTCTAAAATAAGCCATTTATATTCCCTCCAGTGCAAGATTTAAAAATAAGAGAAACAGACCTAATAAGTGCAACACAAGACCAAAAGAGCAAATAGAAAGTCTCCCTCACTATGATTGCCTTCACGAAAAACCCAATGGACTTCTATCAAGATAAAAATGTTGATTTTGTAGGAAGATGCATTTTTCACAAAGGCTGTATTTGTTCCACACGGAGAGCAAAATGGCCTGAGAACTGCAGCAGCACTTTGTGAGATCGAATCCTCCAAGTCCTCCTTTTTTTCTGACAGATGGGCCAGATGATTTTTCTCGCCAGTTATATACGTTTGAGATGCACAAAACTATTAATTTGTAAGCTAGTGAGAGCCATGGGAAAAAAGAGAAAGACATTTTGGTTCTCCTATTTAGAATCTGCATTAATAATACATGTAAATAAAAATGGAAATACAGTATGATAATACAGAATCATTCATCCCTTCTCCTTTAATGTTTTTAGACTGAGGCAGAATGCATGAATGAACACATTCTTCGGTTGTTGTCTTTGGATGTGGGGATCAAATGTGATGAGTAATCGGATGAAAAGTTACAAAACAGGCTATTTAAATAACTGATGCTTATTCAGTGCACTCCTGCTACTTAGATGGTACTGTATTGTTGTGCTTCTGGTGGTTTTGCAGTATTTATTGGGGACTTGTTCATGTCCTTTTTTAATTGTGTGAGTAAGGATCTGAGTACACAAGTTACATAATTGTCATTTCTTCAAAAAATTACATTTCATGATTTGATCCTGTGGGGGTTGCTACCACACAGTCACATACTGTTGTCAACAAAACAGGACAAGATGAAGGCGAAACACAATGTTCCTTAAAATGTATAGATGCTGGGTGATTTTGTGGCTCCACT